GGGGGGGGTTGGGGGGGGGGGGGGGGGGGGGGGGGGGGTTAATGTCAAGCAAACCCCTCTTTAAAAACCAAAATACACGCGAACTCATACATCAGAAATGAATCTACCGGTCTATTGATTGTTCCATCAGAACTTACAAAAATAAATGCACCAAGTAATGCTGCAAAGCTGTCATTTTATTTATTTCTATCTTAAAAATAAAATTTTCGAACGTTCTCAAAAAAGAGCTCGTCCTCAACGCATAAACACAGAGAAAGACATATAGGCAGACAGATACAAACATATAAACCCGCGCAAATAGACAAATCCTTGACAATACATTTTTACAAGTGTGCTGAAACATATAAATTATTATTTTTACAGAAAAACTCAGACAAAATTACAGCAATTCGGCGAGCTTTTTTTCTTTCAGCAGTTCGACATATCTACTCCTTCCGGGTCTCGGGTTGCTCATTGGTGACGTCCACTGCGCCGACGAACTTCTTTTCGTGTACCGGCTGCAATCCCTCGAAAAGATAGCAGTGAGATTTGGCGGTTGCACCGGTCCAAAAAAAGTATCAACATCGATGCACGGATGTAATATCTGCTTCACCAAAGCTTGTTTTAACGTTTCATCTGCAAAAATAAAAACAGATCTCAAAGCTTGCAACAAAAATCAACAATATCCGCACAACTATTCCTAAAGTTTTGGAACTTTCGGACATTGCTGCATTTGTAAGCTCTAAATGGTTTCAGTTGCTAAGCACCCCAAATCAGTCTTCACAAATGTCTAGGTCTCACGTACAGATACGGTGAACTTGATGATGCATCTTGGCAGCAACGACTACATGCACAATCCACAATATTTACGTATTTCAATCTAAAGCAACAACCACTCACACTGTTTAAGAATTCATGTGGTCGCAAAATGCAACACTGCCGTCCCAGCCGACGTTTTTTTGCTCCTATGTTCAAGAAAAGACAAAGATGGTAGCAGTATGAAGTACAAATTACTACCTTGATTTCTTATTGGTATTGCTGAGAGTCGAAACTGCTAACGTCCTGATTCTAGACATCCCTCAGAGAACAGAGTCACTGACAGTTGCCAGCCGCTGGTAACTGATGGCATGTGCTGCTATATTCAGACGCCTGTTGCAACGAACTTTTAAAGCGACATTTTGATTTTTGATCGTTTTCGAGTACTATTCCAGAAATCCAGGAAAAAGATGTGTGTCGAAAAAGGCTCACCTTGTGCCCAGAGTGGGATTGGTTTGCGCGGCTGTGTTTCATCGTCCGTTTCATCTTGTGAAGACAAGTCATTGATGTTGTAGTTATTGCTAGTACTCTTCAATGAATCACTTGCACGTGATACATCCATGCTGAAACATGTACCCTGCTTACTTCCCTGTTGATCCTCCAGACACCAAGCAGCACGCAAGCAAAGAAAAAATTAAATCAAGAACTACAGAACTGACAACAGCGCTGGTTTGTCTCGAAACCTATTTGTATGTAAATACAGCAACAACCTTTTCGGCGCTTGATTTTTTGCAGTATCTTCCATATTTTGACCAGAACCATTATTCGTATTCTCCTTATCCTCCGCACATTTTTCCGCCTTAATGTCTGCCGAAGACTCCGCTACGACGTCACCGTGTGCGCCACTTTGCACCGATTTCTTTAGCTGCGTAGTGAGTGACAGCGCACGCCTTGCCATTGCATGATTTTTTGATAGATTGGTTATGGATTTCACCAGCAGATGACTAGAATGCCTGGCCTTTGTCATTGTAGGCATTCCCTTTGATATGATATCATTTTTCTCGGTGATTTCCTCTGATCTGCTCAGTGAACCTTCTTTGCTACGCAGATTCTTTTGCATTGCCGTTTTTTCGTAATGCAGATATGTAGATGCCTGTTCAAACTGCAGTGCATTTGAACATGCTACTTCGGTTGCCAGGGCTTGTGCAGTACCCATGCCTTCCATTTCCGTGGCTGCAGTCTGTTCGCTCTTGGAGCTCATTTTCCGAGTAGTGCTTCTTTTTGTTTCACAAACCTCTATCTGATCGAACTTTTGCCTTTTTTTCGAAATATCTTGCTTTCCGCTAGCACTGCTTTCTCGTTTTCCGCGAAAATGCTCTTTTTCCTGAAATTAATCATTGTGTTTTACAAAATTTTATTTTGGAGTTTATGAAAGTAAACGAAGAAACAACAATCTAGCAAACCTGATGAGACGGTGAATTTCTTGACGTACTAGCAATATCCTTAGAAGACACTGCGCGTACCAACGGCTGCTTTTGCATACGACTGCAATATCTTCTGCAACATCGTTTTTTTTTTTTTTTTTTTCAAATCAATATTAAATCACTCTATTCTCCCTCCTTTATGCGCAAGGCAGATACCACAGAGCCAACCGACACCAGAAAGGCGGCAAAGTAAACTGCTAATGACAACGTCTGCACGATGCCAAGAGAAGTAGGAAAGGCCGTCAGCGCCATAAAAATATGCATCTGAACAACTTTAGACACCCGAAACCAAGCAGACAGATGGCGTTGTAGATCGCACGGGTGATAAGAAGGTGCAGTTATTCAGAGTTCCTCCTCGGAAATTTTCGCAATTTTCCACGAAATAACCGTTATTCGCCTGCAGAGTTATGACAGCAGTCAATTGTTTATTGCTGTCGTAACTTAACTTTCCACTCGCAAATTTCACAACCCAGATGCCAATTTAATCAAAGTTCCATGTCGACTTTGATAAGGTGCTAGCCAGTTATGACAGGTTTTACTCCAGCTGCAGCAAATTTTCCGACACCCACTACCCGATCTGCGTGCACTGACCTCTTCAGACATTTTCCAAAATATTTTCGATTTCTCGTCACTAACCTTTACCCGCAACATTTTGCCTACTATCTCGTTACGATATGTATTGACAAGGAGAAATAAAATTAGGCGGCAGCATTTTAGAATAAAAATTACGGGATTGGTGATGAATGTCTATTCGCCCGTCGTACAAAATTAACATCCTCTGTCTCATACCACAACACTGGCCTTCACGCTCCAAGGAAAGTTGAAAGCGTAAGAAGTATGGGAACGTTCCCAGCTGTTACGCAGTAAGTGTAACTGTCTATCTTTTCGAAGAAGGAAGGATAGTCCGCTCAGTTATGATGTGTTATAAAGGCAAACTGCTCAACGAAAAAAGGCAAACTGCTCAGAAGGCAAACTGCTACATGTTATAAAGGCAAACTGCCTAGCGAATTGAGTAGAAGCAGTGCCATTACTGGTACTAACCTGGTGCGATAAGGCGACCATGGCGGCATCCGTTGCTGCTGCTTCAGCGCTTCAATTTGTTGCTCGCGCATTCTTATAATTCGCATTTTTTCCATTGCCTCTTCCTCCTTCTTCTTATTGTTCATTTTTACACGCATTGCGCGCTCTTCACGGTCCCTGAATTTGTTTATCGAACAATAATGGAAATAAGGATAGAATAGTAGTAATAATAATGGACAAAATCACGATAATTTTAATAATAATAACAATAACAATAATAATAGAATAGAAATAAAGTAACATTAGTAGTAAGATAGAAGACTGAGAAAAAATAATCATGAT